TGAAGGTGAGTAGAAGATGGAATTCATGGCATGCATTGTTGGGGAGCAGTAAGTAGGATGATGGTGGAGAACCAGATTCCTTATGGATCATGTAAGTTCACTTTCCAAACTGATATTTTCACCTTATGTCTGGGTTACAGGAAATCCAGTCTAGGATAATCCAAAAAGACACTTGTGTATCTTGGCACAGAAACACAAGCCAAACCGCCAGAGAGTTCTGAGTTTGTTCAAGAAGAAGAAGAGCTGAGAAGGGTTCTATACGAATCAAAAGACGAGTCCTATATATGCATGAAAAATTAGAGTTTCTATCTTCTAAATTAGTTAGGAAAGTCACAAATTTAACAACTTAATCAATGGTTTCCAAAACTGACAACAGTTTTCAATCTTACTGTAATTACCCTACTAGAATTCGGTTTTTCCATAATGAAACTAATTCAAATTTCCGAAGACCTTTTGGGGTGTTGCCCCAAACCGCACGGAGGCGTTGACCCTCGACCGCCAAGGGCTCTGCCTCTTGGACCCCGCTAGGGTCGCGACCCCCTTAACCTCCGTCGTTTTGCCGTACTGACTTATAATTTGATCTTTTATATGCATGCACTATGCATTCACCAAACATATAATATATAGTACAAATAATAAGCCCTTTAGTTCACATGTTAGTTCCAATTACCCAAAATGTCCAGTAACACTAAAATCACCAACATGCATCTCACTATCTCCAAGTTGTGAAGAATGACAAAGGTTATTTCCGACCCGGGTCATATTATTGGATCAACCTTTGAATATCAAGAGTTATGCAGGAAAGTTATTGTACATATACATGAAAAAAATGTGGGTTCTAAACTAGAAAACAATAATTCATTTTATTAATATCAAAACAAGCATTTACATCTGATTACACACATATTTATATAACAATAATACTATAACTGTCAATTGGCAGTTACAATGGTTATTAAACCATCACAAATGTTCACTAATACCAATTCTAAAACTATTGCAATGGTTCACTTTATTTAATACCTTAAAGATTAATAAATACTATTATTTTAAGTTTGAAAGAGCTGAAGGTGAGTAAAAGATGGAATTCATGGTCTGCATCTCATTATCTCCAAAGTTGTGAAGAATGACATAGGTTATTCTGATATGGGTCATACTTGTTCTCGAATCTAATTTGTAGTATATAATTGTTTGTAACTTTGCATAGTGTTAATATTTGTTTCATGTACACTCACTCACTAGGTGTTTCTCTATATTGTTCGAACAAGGTTTCTCACAGTTGGGGTTGTGTTCTTAGCTAGGGTTTCATTCTATAACCCAAAAGTTGTGCGTAGTTGTTCTTGTTTGTCAGTTGTTTTGATCTGGAATATTATGAGTGTTGAGCGTATTTTGTAGTGAGTTTTAGTTTTAAAAGTAATAACATCTTTAGTAAAGGTTATTTGTCATTTTAAGTTGGTATCAGAGCAACGATATTGATTCAAAGCTTAACAAATATTTGGTAATTGAACTCTTTTAGACATATAAGGATAAAAAATATCCACAAAAAATATCATTTGTGTTCTATAACCATGTGTACTACACCAAAAAATCAGCGTAGGCTTTGTAGGGATGTTCAAGATTAAGTATTGATATCAATTATTAACCTTGAAATTAGTAACGATAACCAACTTTTTATATTTTTTGTAAAATGACCACTTACTCCATAATATTGCATTTATGGAGTAGTTATGTTCATTCCGGGGCTGCTGGTGATTGGTAAGTATCGGGTCTGGAATTTCACACCCGTACGTTACGGACTGAAAAAGTGTATTTCAGATTGCAAATTCTGGAATTTATGTAGTCTGAAAGCAAAAAAGTAAGGGTGCAAACGAGCCGAGCCGAGCCGAGCATGGTCAGGCTCGGCTCGGGCTCGTTTAAGTTATACGAGGCTCGAGCTCGAGCTCGAGCTCGGCTCGATTCAAGCTTTCTTGTACTGAGCTCGGCTCGAGCTCGTAAATAATTATACAAGCTCGGAACGGGCTCGTGCTCGGCTCATTTTTTGTTTCACGTGTCTAAATAAGCTTAAGCTCGGCTCAAGCTCGTTATGAAGCTCGTTTACTAATACCTTAAATCCCTAATTCCCCGAATATATTTTTATTTTAATATATAAAAATATATAAAAGGCTCGTTTAGGCTCGCGAGCCTAATCGAGCCTAGTGACATAGGCTCGAGCTCGTTTAATAAACGAGCTTAATATTAAGCTCGAGCTCGGCTCGGGCTCGTTTAAAATCGGTTTCGAGTCGAGCTTTTAATGAGTCGATCCCGAGTAGCTCACAAGTAGCTTGGCTCATTAGTACCCCTACAAAAAAGGGAAAATATAACTTCAAAAAATTTAGAACTTGGCCTGCGACGGTGTAGGCCGTAGCAATGGAACGTGTATGATGGCTTCACAGGGGTGACAATGGCTTACTGTGGCAAGTAGGGGTCGGGAGGGGGTGACTTTAGAGTATCCGTGGATGATAGATATGATATATGTTGGAATGGGGTCGTGATGAATATGTAACAGCCCAATAATAGTGATAAAATTTTTCATTCAAGCATTATCAATTTCATTCATCAATAGTTCCAAAAACCATGCATCATCAAATATAATATTTAAAACATCATAGTACAATTATTCAAAATGCAGAAATCATGAGGGGAGGATGATGTGCCATAACGTCGGGTCTTCCCTTTCGAACTAGAAGTACTTGAAACCATAAACATAAATTGTAAGCACAAAGCTTAGTGAGTTCCCCACAGTACCGCATACCAAACATATAGTTGGGCTTAACCCTGGGTATATTGCAACCCCATATACACATATGGACCCCTCCTTGGGGTGTATTTCAACTCGATCAATATATTGATGGGTTATAGGCATAACAAACAAACTCAAAACTCTTAAGTGTGCATGCAACCTAAAACAAGATCTATGTTTTCTCTATTGAACCTATAACTAAGAACATCAAAAAGAAACCCTAAGAACCCTAGTATATTTTCGAAAATACTAAAGAAAAGGTTTAAGATTTCATACCTTTTAGTTGTTATAGCAAACAACTAGAAATTCCTTTGAAGATCTCATGGAAGCAAGCACCACAAGTGTCGTGCCTCTAATGGAATCACACCCAACTAGCAAGAGAATAACTTAGGAGAGATGATGGAATTTCTTCCAAAGCTTGTGGAGGGAAGGCATGGACAAAATCAAGGGCCAAGAAGCTCTTTATATAGTTGAGGAAACTTGGTGCCAAAGCTATGGTTTAAGGGATATGCCCTAGATCCCTTTGCTTGGTGACCAAACAACACAATCCCTTTACCTTAGGGCCTTGGACGAAATCTCCTAGGGTTTCCCTAGAGATTTTCGTCCACCTCTTTCAAGAGGTTCTAGAGCATTCCTTTCTCAACTATTAATAAATAACAAAACAATCCCTGTATTTTTAATTAATTCAATTAATCCCAAAATTAATTCTAATTAATTTCTGATTAATTTATAATTAAATATTACTATTTCTAATTAATATATTATTCTTATAATATATCAATATACTATTTATTTCAGTTTATTAATCAAATAATAAATCAACCTCTCTCTCCAAAAGTCATCTTGCCTAATTGTTAGGTTTGAGGGTAACCCAAAAGGACTGTGCTACTATCAATTCAAGTATATACCAATTATAGTTATAGGCCTAGACGCCTAATCCAACAGTATCCCACTTGGATAAGTCTATAACTATGATTGTCGGTATAACTTCTTAATCGATAAACAAATTGTAGCTTCCAAAAGCCACTACCAAACTCTGACCCAATCAGTTACATGTCCTAAGATAAGTGATCATATAATCCTCCGTTCTGCTAGATATCATTCAGACATGAGACATGGAATAGAATCAATATCATAGTCCAATACTTTGTTTCCCGATTTCTGATTTGTGACAACATAGAACTTCTAATCGAACACATCAATTTAGTCATGGTCGGGCCCGACACTATAAGTCAACACCAAATCACCGAGGGGCCCAAAGATATTGTTTTTCCCATCAGGGAAAAATGAACGAATAAACTTTGACTTATATGCTTGCACCATTTACTCATCAAATCATGCGTGGCAATACGTTTTATAACATCAAGTTACTGATGCGTTTACACATTACCAACATACAACCGACTTGTAAATTACAACTCATATATCTCCGTTTCAAGATTATAAGATATTATCGTCTCAGAATTGCTCGTGATAGATTCCATGAAGTAATTCTTTGAGCGTGGGTTTATCAAATACTTAAATATCCATTTCTAAGTACTCATGAACATTGTAACAATACTATTGATATGTCTAACTTCCTTAGACAATATACAGTTCAATTCATGACAGTCTTAATTCACTACTTACTTCCAAAAGTACGAACGACTGTGGAGTTTGAATAATCATATTATTCAGGATGTAAAACATGCAAAGCGAAACACAAGAATAAACAATTGACAAAAGACAGTAAACAAAACTCATAAATAATTCTCTATTATTTAATCACCAAAAGTCAATTATATTTACTTTGTTGCAAGTTTCAAACTAACTATCTAACTACTAAAACTAATATCATCTCTAAGACCAATGATCCTAGCATGTTGACTGTGCTTGACCCTACTCAGAGCCTTCATCAAAGGATCTACATGATTCTCTTCTGATGATACCCTCTTCACTATAAAGGGACATTCGTCTACTCTATGTCTGATGAAATGGTATTTTCTGTCGTTATGTCTTGATCTGCCATGATCTCTTGGTTCCTTAGTTAAGGTAACCGCTCCTTCATTATCACAAAAAAGTTCCATTGGCTCCTGAATGGTCGGGACAACTTCGAGGTCACTGATGAAGTTCTTCAACCAAGTTGCCTCCTTTGATGCTTCACTTGCAGCCAAGGTTGCAGAAATCGTTCGGCGATGGACTTGGGTCAAGCGATTAATCAGCTAGATGGGGATTAATCGGGGACCATTAATTATTAAAAAAACTATTAAAAAACTATTAAATATAACATTAATCCTAAGAATATAACATTAAATATAACATTAATAAAAGGAGAAACCCAAAATACATGTGCATACAATTCAAATCTATCAAACATCCCCAAACATAATCAAAGCTTAAATTTTTTCACAAATCATAATCACCACTCGACGATTCACCAACCCTCATTGTGATCTTCATCCTCTTCGAACCATCAGCACCACCGTTCCCCCTGGTTCGACCCTTGGAACCACCTGCTGCACCCTGGTCCGAACCACTTCCACTTTTTCCAACCTCCGAAAGCCCACTCTGTAGAGCCCTCACCAAATTCTCAAAATAAGATCGAGTCACAATAGTCAAATCCACTAACTTCACTCTGAAATTACTAAACTGTTCTTCACTGGGTTTTTCCTTTTCATCTCCTTCCTTTGTAATGTAACTTTGAGTAACATCAATCCTAAAATCAGTAAATTTCTTAACAGAAAAGCTGTCAAATGCTATTTTTCAACAAATTCTGGATAAATTGTTGTTAACAGAAGAAGTTTCATAGAGAAGTAAAATTAACCTTTGCTGGATAACTCGATTAGTGTCGATGAGAGGAGTTGTAGTCGTAAGAGGAGCTGATTTTGGAGCTGAGAACTTCGTGAACAAGAATCGTTGTCAAATGTGATGATAACTGGAGCTTGGAAGGGGACTGCGACATCGTTGCTCGAAGGTGATGACGAACCGGAGGTCGGAGCTAAAGTCGAAGGTGAACGGAAGAAGAAGATGCGCCGATTTCACATCTTTCGTTCTCGTTCTTGGTTTGAGTCCAGAGAGAATGTCGATTTTTTTTAGTGCATCAAATGAGAAATCGTAAGTTAACCCTAGAAGTAATTGTTACATTTTGACAATTTTGCCCTTAAATTTTTTTAAATTACGTTGACTTGGTTGACCGATTTGGGCACCTAGACCCGACTAGACCCGTCTTTGACCGACTTTGACCACGTCTGATTATATAGTCCGATTAGCTATAAACATCGACAGTAGAGGACCGCCAAGCGCCTAGGCGCCGATTAATCGGCCGCCTAGGCCGATATTTGCAACACTGCTTGCATCTATGTACTCTGATTTGCAGGTCGAATCAGCCACTGTATCCTGTTTGGAACGCTTCCAAGTTATCGCTCCACCGTTTAGAGTGAACACCCATCCCGACTGAGAACGAAAGTTTTCTTTGTCTGTATGAAAGCTAGCGTCATTGTACCCACTCACTCTCAATGTATCACTGCCACCAAGGACAAGAACCATGTCCTTCGTCCTCTGTATATACTTGAGAATGTTCTTAACCGCAGTCCAGTAGGCCTTATCGGGCTTTCCCTGATAGCAACTGACCATGCTCAAAGCAAAGGACACATCAGGGTGAGTACATATCATAGCGTACATGATCGACCCTATAGCTGAAGCGTAATGTACCCGACTCATATAAGCTATCTCTTCATATGTACTAGGGCTTTGAGTCTTACTCAGTTTGGTAATGCTCTGCATAGGTATCTCTCCTTTTCTTGGAATTCTCCATACTAAACCTCTTCAGTACTTTATCCAAGTACGTACTTTGACTAAGTCCAATTAGTCTCATCTTTTTATCTCTAAAGATTCTTATCCCAAGAATATAGGCTGCTTCTTCAAGGTCTTTCATGGCAAAACACTTTCCAAGACAAGAATTAACCTCTTGCACAGTTGGAATGTCATTTCCCATGAGTAGTATGTAATCGACATACAACAACAGAAAAGTCACTATACTCCCAATAGCCTTGATATAAGCACACGGCTCATCTCCACTCCTACAGAAACCAAACTCTTTGACTTTTTCATGAAAGCAAAGATTCCAAGTGCGAGACACCTGTTTTAATCCATAGATGGATTTATCAAGCTTACACACTCTATTTGGAAACTTTTCATTTACAAAACCCTCTGGCTGACTCATGTAAACATATTTAGCCAACTTCTTGTTAAGGAAAGTGGTTTTGACGTCCATCTAACAATATTCATAGTCATGAAAAGCAGTTATGGCGAGCATTATCCGGATAGATTTTATCTTGGCTACTGGTGATAAGGTCTCATCATAGTCAACCCCTAGGGTTTGAGTAAAGCCCTTCGCAACCAGTTAAGCCTTAAAGGTGTGTATACCTTTACATCCATGTTTATCTTCTTTTTGAAGATCCATTTGCACCCAACTGTCTTTCAACCTGGTATATTATCAACCAAATTCCAAAATTGGTTGTCATACATGGACTTGATCTCGCTGTCCATTGCCCCATTCCATTTAGCAGCCTCAGGGCCTGCCATTGCTTCCTTGTAGCTAGTCGGCTCATCCAAATTTATCAATGTTTGATCACTAATAAACGTATCACCTTCTGCAGTTATATGGAAACCATAAATCTGAGGTGGCACTCTAACTCTACTGGAACGTCTGAGAGGTAATGACTGGTCTATCGGTTCAACATGAACCTCTTCCTCTTGTTGAGTGCTAGTACCATCTAAGGTTCCATCACTGGTTGAGTCTTGAATTTCTTCAAGGTCAATGGTACTCCCACTGTCCTCTTTGAATATGAGCTATCTCTCTCTCTCTCTCTCTCTCTCTCTCTCTCAAGACTCCTCGTCGTGCTATAAAGACCACGCTCTCACTGGGCCTGTAGAACAAATATCCAAATGAATGCTTTGGGTAACCAATGAAAATACACCTCTCACTTCTAGCTGCTAGCTTGTCATGAGTCTCTCGTCTTACGAAAGCTTCACAACCCCAGACTTTGATATGTGCTAACGAGGGAACTTTCCTCTCCATGTTTCGTGAGGTGTTTTGGAAACTTTCTTTGTAGGGACAAGATTGAGGATGTGGGTGACTGTCTCTAAGGCATACCCCCATAAATGAATTAGAAGTGAAGCACGACTCATCTTGGAACGAACCATGTCCAACAGGGTCCAATTACGCCTCTCAGCTACACCATTTAACTGGGGTGTCCTAGGAGGATTTAATTATGAAACTATTCTACATTCATTCAGATAGTCGTTGAACTCGATACTAAGATATTGTTCGCCTCTATCGGACCTAAGCATCTTTATCTTCCTGCCCAATTGATTCTCGACTTCTTGTTTGAACTCTTTGAACTTTTCAAAGGTTTCTGACTTATGCTTGATTAAGTAGATATAACCATATATGCTATAATCATCTGTAAAAGTGACATAGAATCGATTAGCATCCCTTGTGGATGATCTGAAAGGTCCACATACATCTGTATGTATGAGATCTAACAAACATTCACCTATTTCATAAGATCCAATGAAACGTGATTTTGTCATCTTTCCCAAAAGACAAGATTCACATGTATCATCTGACCTTAAGTCAAATGATTCCAACACTCCATCCTTTTGGAGTTGGGCAATGTGTTTCTTGTTAATGTGTCTAAGTCGACAATGCCACAAGTACGCTTTGTCTATACCATTAGACGAATCAATATGAAAAACATTATTGCCTAAATTATCAACAAACATTATAGTTTCATACACACCATCACAAGGTAAAGCTTCAAAATAAAAAACAACATTTTTATAAGCAGAAATAGAACCATTAAAATCATCAAAAGAATATCTAAACCCTTGTCTGAACAATGCATGAAAATAGATAATGTTTCTTGTCATTTCTGATGAGTAGCAACAATTTATTAAATCTAAACCAACACCATTACTAAGCACTAGAATATAAACGCCAATCTTGGTAACATGTGAAGACCGACTATTCCCCATGATCATCTTCATTCTTCCGTGCTCCACCTCCTCACTTTCTCTTATCCCCTGCAAATCAGAAAAAATATGAAATCCACATCCTGTATCAAGGACCCAAGAACGAGAAGATGATGAGTCATTATATAAAATAATGTATATACCTACATAATATGGATTCACTTTACCATCCTTGATGTCTTCCAGATACTTCAGGCAGCTTCGTTTCCAATGCCCCTTATCGTTGCAGTAAAAGCAAGTGACCTCCTTGGGATCAGAAGAATGAGGAGTGTCAGAACTGGGCTTGGCCTTTGGGCCACTACTAGATGACCCAACATGGACCTTGCCCTTCCAGTTCTGCTTGGAAGGACCTTTCCTCTTCTTCCCCTTTCCTTGACCAATGGCCAGAACGGGAGCACTAGCAAGATTAAGGTTTGAGTTCTTACCCTTCATTCCTGCCTCAGCAGTCTGCAGTAGGTTTTGCAATTGGCCAATGTAATCTCACTGTTGTTCAAATGATAGGTCAAGATGATTTGATCATAATAACTTGGTAAGGAGTTTAGGACTATGTCAATAGCCAACTCCTCGTCAAAGTGCACATTTAGCCTAATAAGGCAATCCATGTATCGTTGCATTCTTTGCACGTGACTACTAACAGACTCTCCATCTTTCATTTCGCTTGCTATGAGGGACTTTACCACATCGTACTTTTCTTGACGAGCTCGCTTATGGTACTTTTCCATAAGGTCCTTGTTTATCTCATATGGCCAGTAATCCTCATAAAACTCTACAAATCAAGAGTCATGGTGGCGACCATGATGCAAGCAACTTTTGTTGCATCATCGTAGTGTTTCTTGTACGCGGAAATTTCTTCAGGGGTGGCCTTCTCTTCGTCAATTTCATTGAGTTATTTCTCGAGAACATACTCTTTGTTCTCGAAACGAAGGGCCATATTAATGTTCTGTATCCAATCATTGTAATTGTAACCATCCAATGTAACTTTGGAGCAGATTGAGAGCAAGGAGAAGTTGTGGTGGTTGGAGGAGGAGGAAGCAGAAGCATCAGTTGGAGTAGACATGTGTAAAAAGAAGGTAGTTTTAGTTAGATAAGAATAATCCTTAATATAGCAACCCAAAATGAAATATTAAGGCTAGGATCCAACTATATAATTCACAACTTAGAAAAGGGATTCCATAATCTAATTGTAAATTTTATAAAGGTAGGTAAATGACGATTTACCAATTCCACCAATGGAAAACGATTTTTTTTAAAGAAATTAAGTTTGGTGAAATTCCTAGGTCTTTTAAGGTTCATTGAACCTATTCAATGCATGTTTAATCTCAAATTATGCATATCTATTTGTGACTGGGATACCAAGGATCACCAACAAGATGTGAATAACCATGCAAACGTGCTTGGTAACCTCAATGTCGTTTATCATCTCAATTGATGTGTTGGTAAACCACACACACTCCATCAACATTGATAATTTATGAGATACACATTGCAACTCTTTATTAGTCCCTATTAGTGTATTGGTTAACCACACACACTCCACTAATGACTTATAAAGTGCAATGTGTAATTTCATGGGTTATCATACTTTTCACATTTTTCTAAAGTAACTAAGAACGGGATTTTATAAAATAATTTAGTTACTTTATTTCATTATACTTATTAAATGAGAATTAATGTCCTATCAAGTCATTTTCTGCTAACGACCCTCCACCAATCAAGGAAGCGGTGGGTGAGAGTGGACACCCATTACACTACCATTTTATAGGCAGTTTCCTTATACCCCCTTATAGGATTTATTCCAATTTTACTTATCTCTTTTTAGGCAAGTAAAATGATAATTACCAAATTTGAAAAACCCTAATAATCCTACCATATTTCAAAAATACTTGGGGAGGAAGGCTAGGGTTTTCAAAAACTTAGGGAAGGGGGCTAGGGTTTCTAAAACCCTAACCCTCGTCGAAATTCATGACCTTTTAGGGTTTAATTTTTATAACCCCTAATTGATCTATTCTTCTATTATAGCTATTCAACAGAAAACAAACCAAATGCTCTGATACCACTGATGGGTTTTAGGCAAAACAAACAAACTCAAAACTCTTAAGTGTGCATGCAACCTAAAACAAGATCTATGTTTTCTCTATTGAACCTATAACTAAGAACATCTAAAAGAAACCCTAAGAACCCTAGTATATTTTCGAAAATACTATTGAAAAGGTTTCATACCTTTTAGTTGTTATAGCAAACAACTAGAAATTCCTTTGAAGATCTCTTGGAAGCAAGCACCACAAGTGTCGTGCCTCTAATAAAATCACACCCAACTAGCAAGAGAATGACTTAGGAGAGAGGAGGGAATTTCGTCCAAAGCTTGTGGAGGGAAGGCATGGACAAAATCAAGGGCGAAAAAGCTCTTTATATAGTTGAGGAAACTTGGTGCCAAATCAAGGGTTTAAGGGATATGCCCTAGATCCCTTTGCTTAGTGACCAAACAACACAATCCCTTTACCTTAGGGCCTTGGACGAAATCTCCTAGGGTTTCCCTAGAGATTTTCGTCCACCTCTTTCAAGAGGTTCTAGAGCCTTCCTATCTCAACTATTAATAA